TTTTGATTGTAAAATTTAAAATATTTGATATTTTATCTTTAATTGAAGTATTTTTGGTTTAAGTATAATATTTTATACTTAAGTGGTCTAAGTATTATATACTTATAAATTTTAAGAGGGTTTAAGTATAATTTATTAAATAATATATTTATATCAGGGGTTTAAGTGTTACGTGCAGACAAACTTCGGGAGTTTGTGTGTAATATTTTAAATATCAGGAAATCTGAGTAATTAATTGATGAACTTCAGAAAATCTAGACATAATACTTCAAAAAAAAAAAACATTAGGACAAAATGTAATTACTAATGCTATCATGACCTAACGAGTAGGGAGAGAATATTTGGTTAATTATATTTTGATATCTAAAGTATATATATTTTATTAATTTGGTTTCTAAAGTATTAATTTTATCAATTTGGTCCCCTTAAATTATTCAGTTCGTGTATAAATGATCCCTACATAAATGAAATGTTAAATTGTTGATGGAATGATCACGTGTTGGACATGTAATATCGTCTCAAAAAATGACAAGTTGTTATTTTCGTCAAAAAACTTGACGAATTGTCTGACTAAGGACGATAGTGACACAAATTAAATTTTTACGGGCTAAATTGATAAAATTAATATAAAGATGACCAAAGTGATAAAACAGACATACTTTAAAGACTAACTAAATTAAAAATCGATTACAATTTTAAGAATTTAATTATTTAATAAAATTTATGTGCATCCTGAAGACTAAAAATTCTAAATTACCCTTAAAGGAAGTAAAATACACTTGCCGGAATGACCACATAGAACACCACAAACGTATTCTAACCAATGTTATTAGAATCNTTATGTGCATCCTGAAGACTAAAAATTCTAAATTACCCTTAAAGGAAGTAAAATACACTTGCCGGAATGACCACATAGAACACCACAAACGTATTCTAACCAATGTTATTAGAATCAGACCAGATATCAAATCAGCAGAGGAACTAGATCAATAGTTCATTAGTTTAATGGGTTTACTGGTCAAACTGATCATATAATACAAAAATAATAAAATTTATAAAATAATAATTTAACTAAAAATTTAGTCACAATAAAAATTAAATATTTTATTGTGTNCTGGTCAAACTGATCATATAATACAAAAATAATAAAATTTATAAAATAATAATTTAACTAAAAATTTAGTCACAATAAAAATTAAATATTTTATTGTGTGTGTCTTAACTGGACTGTTGAATGTGTTATGTGTGTGTGTTTTTGGTAAAAAAAAAAAGTAGTGTATATTAACTATTTAACTTAGATTCAATTATTCATATTAATCACGTGTTTATGCGTGCGTAGAGAGAGAGAGAGAAAGAAGATCCAACATATGAGAAAGAACAAGAAGACCCAATAACTTTTCTTTCATTTTTGTGGGTGCGTGTCACGTGTCTGTGTGGAGAGAGAGAAGAAGAAGAAGATTGACACAACTTACGAGGAGATCTAGATATGCGGTGTTCTTGATATGTGGTGTTTTAGATCTATGTTCGCCGTTGTTTGATAAAAGAAAATAAAATTATATAGGCATTTTCATGTCCACTTGTAGTTTCTCTTTCAACTTGGATAACAATTCACACGCATCACATTAATGGTTTCCCTATTATTTTATCAATAATATTATTTGAATATAATTTATTAATTTAATTTGTTGATCTAATTATTTATAATTATTAAATTGATAGTAGACTCCAATATTTGTTGGGACTTACCACTAATCTAATGAGTGTGATGAATTAGGTCAATAAATTAAGTTTAAATAATATTATTTTTATTTTAGAATTAGAACACGAGAATCAAGTGCATATAATTTCAACAAAATTAGAAATTTTGAGTTATTTTTTTACGAGGTTCAATGATTAACAGGTTAACTGGTTCACACCAGTGAATTGAATGGGTTGATATAACTCAATAGGACTCGTGACATGATCTGACTATATTAAATTATTAGGGGTAATTTATATTTGAAGACACGAAACACTGTCAGCGAGAAGTGATAGATTTTTTGGGAGGGAGAGGAGTTCAATATAGATAGTCTTGAGAGAAGTTGGTGGCTGTTGGATGAGTCTATTTGAAACCGTCAAATAGATTTATTGAAATCGGTTCTATTATATATTATAAATATAGATACATGGGTTAAATATAGCTTGAATAAATTTAATATGAAATAATTCACACAATTTAATAACATGACACGGCATGCGAACTAATTATATATATCCAAGTTAATTTTGAACAATATTACTTAAATTTAAAATATTAATTTGATTTGTTGACTTAATTAATCGCAGTTGTTGATTTAACTATGAGTCTTAATGCTTATTAGAACTCATTATTTATTTAATTGTTATAATTGATTAAATTAACAAATCATTGTTATAATTGATTAAATTAAATTAACAAATCATATCAATATTTTAAGTATAAATATTATTTCTCAAGGTTAATCAAGGTTAGTTCACTTTCCGATTACTCGATGAAGGCTCGCACTCTCATGAACCAACGCAGTAACTGTTTGAGCTCTAAATGGCATTGGAAGAACCAATGATGGTGAGAGAAGTGGACGCGTCAGATGAACCAGGTAGGGCATGTACTATCATGAAACTCTTCTTCACCAGTTCACCCAGTTGGGTTCCTCTCCTTCTCTCAATACCTCACGATATTCACCACCCGCCTGCCCCCCAACTCACACACACCCAGAGGGAGATAGAGAGATCTGATTCTGATTTTTATATCCTTCACGTTTGTTTCATCTTCCTCATTTTTTCAGATATTCTGCATACCATTTTTCTATAGGTTGATTATAAAGCAAACACCATTTCAAACACTCTGATATGTGCATGTATGTGTTTATGGAAGATCAGTGAATGTTTTACAGCAAAACCTGTCTATCGAGTTGACTTGGGTGATGGACGGTAGAGAAAGGATCCGAAACATAATTCAGAAAATTGGAATTGTTGATCTTAGCATCACAAAAGGCTGTGAGATCTTGTAGACTGATCGTGCATTCAGATTAGCAAGAAATTACATCTCTCAAGATCATACAGGTAGACATGCAATTTGATTTTTTTTAATCTTTTTCAAAGAATGCATGAATGTTGTTTGACATCGTTTCAATTCTTTTCCTTCAAAAATTTTCATCAGGTTTTTCAAGGTGTTTCTGCAAACCTTTTAAGGTTTCGAAATGGACGACAATCACAGATTAAGATTCGAGCTTAACGACAACCCTGAGGTATATATAGATAGGGCTGAGGCTGACTTCATCCACAGGATCACTCTCACTCTTATACAAATTTCTGTACAACAATGCACAAATGTTTTCTAAAATGACTGTATAAATCTGAAAATAATTACTCCTTCCTTCTACTTTTTCGTTAGAAGATTCTTGAGATTTGGAGCTATTTGGGACTATGGTGATGACAAGCAAACCCTAAAATCAACATTCTACCCAAAACAAGAAGAAGAAACCCTAGAAACATTCATTTTACGGTGAATACACATGCAAGCAAATATCAAGATTGGAAAAAGATTTTCCCTGGATTATCTCTCTAGATCCCACTATTTGATATGTTTCTACATGTGGGAATCAACCTTGTCGAAATGAAGATAAAATTGTTCGTTGCTTATCTCTCTAAATCCCACTACTTGATATGTTTTTACATATGGGAATCAACCTCGTCGAAATGAAGATAAAATTGTCCGTTGCTTCTCTCTAGAGTCTAGATCCCACTATCCCATATGTAAATACATATCAAGTTGAAGTCTTAATTTCTGAGGGTTTGTAAATTTGCTCAAATCTCTTTAGATGTAATAGTCCATTGATTTAGGTTCGTTCAATTTTCAAGTGTCTTTCTCAGTTCTTACTAATTATTTTTGAAAAGAAGGGAGAGGATGCCTTTTGTTCTTGTTTTTTGAAGGTTACATTATTTGTTTTTGCATAATACTTGTATTGCTATACATTCTATTTTTTTTTTCTCAATTGCAGATGAAAACCACTTTAGCTAACAGTGAAGAGTTTATGGCTCCTAGTAACTCAACCGCCTTGGAGAATGCTTTTCCAAAGGAGATTCACAGAGCAAGTGATCTCCTAATGTCAGTCTCAGTGCATGCTGATACATATAAGACGAAAATTATCAATCTTTCTGTTGCAGCAATGGAGGAACTTGAGCAAATGGCTCTAGAGCAAGAGCCATTGTGGTTATTCAATGTGGATAGAAGGGCTGAAGTTTTGAATGCTGTTGAATACAAGAACAGATTTGAGCCTCTTGATGCTGCTCTAGAGGAAATAATTGGAATGATCAAAATGGGACGGCCTATAGAGCTTGCAAGCTTTAATTATACCAATGCTGAAGTACCAAATGATAATGGTAGTGAATCTTCATTACCAATGGAAAATGGACCAACACCACCTTTAGAAACTGAAGCTTCCCGGGCATCTGGAGTTGTGTTCATGAATCCAATTGACCTTGTTAATATGTTCATGGATGTGGTGAGTTTTATTATCTCACCAATTTATATCTGTCTTCATGTATTCTACCAATTATGCAATTAATTTATGATCGACAGTCCTCCTTGTCTTGAAATCAGGATCAGTGGTCGATTGTGTTCACCAATATCGTCTCAAAAGCAACAGTTCTTGGGGTAGTAACAAAAGGAGAGCTTGGTAACCCTAATGGAGCTGTGCAAGTGGTACTCAAGAAGCCATGTCATATTTATTACTTCTTTACTTGCTAAGATGAAGCTTATACATATTTCTATTGTTCATTTGTGTTCATTAGTTTAATTATGGAAAATGGCACTTTGCATTCAATAATATATCTATATGATAGGAGCATCTGTTTCTATTTGTGCTAATTGTTTTGCATGTTCCATAGTCAATTAAAATTTCATTTTGTGCCTACATACAGCTGGCATTAACATATCAAGGACTAGTTGGAAATAGAAAGGGGACACGTATTAAAAATCACGCTGTTAAGCTCATTTACACATGCAATCATAATATCACTCTCATAAAGATAATTTAGCACACGAGGCTCGTATCATTACAGTATTTGGTGGAGATGATCATGTATAGATATTATATTGTTTGTCCTTACCAATTATAAACCATTTTTGATATCATTGGTGAAATAATATTTATAGTAAATCAAAACATAGTTGAGTTGAGGGCGCAAATATCTTACCAAGCTTTAGGTCTATTTGTATAATTGTATGCTGAAAGAGCTAGAGGATCATAGACCAGAACACAAGTTTCCCCTTTAATTAACTTTCTTGTACTTTCATGTTCCCTTACAAACAAATTAAAATGAAGAAATGAACAAAAAAAATGGCCTTGCTGCCCACTTAGGTAAAATGAGTTCAATTGTGAACCTATATTCATTTTCATACCACAGCATTGATCTGTAGCAATTTGTCTTCATGGGTATTCTTGTTTGTTGATTTTTCAGATGAAGGCAGAATTTCATGTTCCATCACCACTTGTTCAAACTCGGGAGATCTATTTTGCTAGGTACTCTAGACGACTCTCTCTCAACAGTTGGATAGTGGTCGATGTATCTCTGGAAAGTATTTTTCCTAATCCAATGATTAAATGTCGAAGAAGACCATCAGGTTGTTTAATAAGAGGAACCCCAGATGGATTTTCAAAGGTTAGCACAGATGTCCAACTCAAAACAGCTTGTAATTTGATATAATTACTTGCTTGAAATTGTATTGTCAAAAGGTTTCTATTTTCTGTTACTTAGGTTACATGGGTGGAGAATAATGAAGTAGATAATAGATCAGTTCAAACTATGTTCAGTCGACTAATTTCATCAGGTTCTGCATTTGGCGCAAATCGTTGGCTCACTACTTTAGAAAGACAATGTGATCGCCTGGCCATCCACTTGGATGATAGGGGTAAACTGTTTCCAATTTTCTTGCACTACAATCACGAGGAAATTAATCACAAATATGAGATTGGAGACTTGTCAAAATAAGATGTTGTAACTTGTAATAAGATTGTAGTTACTCTAAACATGTTTTTTTGGCAATTGTTCGTATTCTACATTGATAGTAACCCGAGGTGGGGCGACAAGTTTATTGAAGCTAGCAGAGAGAATGGTACGATGTTTCAATTGGAATGTTAGTGCATCCACAGAGAATCCATGGAGGCCATTAACAGTGCCTGGTGCAGAAGATATCTTGGTCAGGACTAGCTGTAACTTGGATGATCCAGGAACCCCTCGTGGTGTTGCGATAACCTTTGCAACTTCTGTATGGCTGCCTGTACCACCAGAGAATGTTTTCGACTTCCTTTGCTGTGGGAAGTGTCGCAGCCAGGTATATATTTCAGGTTTTGCAACAGTAACTTTAATGCTCCATTCTCCATTTGCGAATTTTCCTGTCATGAAGATGTAATGTCTTCAATATTAGGGACCGGTAGATATCAACATAGAATGTTGCTAGTTGACCAAAAAGCGGTCATTAAAATTTTGGGCGACCAAGCTAGCTTTCAATATACATATTTGAAACTTTTGGCTCTTGTTGTGTATGCACATTTGAAGTATTGGTCATGTTAGATTGGAAAATTAGCAGTTAGATTTGTATCTACAAACTGTTTTTACTTTATAGAAACTTTTGCGATGAGATATCTTTCAAATATTTTTTCTCTTGGTTCTACGTCACGTGTGGGGTGACTATGCTTTCAACGTAAATGATACCAAGGCATATACAATTCTTTAACAACCCTAGGGTATTGGGCATGACATATTAACACTATACAATTTGAAAGTAATTCATGTAGGAACAAGTCATACATATATTTGCTAGCTAATCACTCATCCATAAAAGTCTCTCTTGAAGGTTTTTATTAATTTCTTCTCTGGACAATATATGATCCACCATCACTAGGAGAGTGATAGCATTATACGGAGTTGAAGTACAATTTGGAGTTGGGAATTTAAGTGACGTGAATCGCAAACTTCCCCCCAGGGATTCGTGAGACACTAGTGATATCTATGATCCAGATATCCATAAATTTTTCTATATGTAGGATTTTATAACTTCACTTTCATTGAGATNTGATTGTAGCAGTTGCAGAGTCTTGGAGAAGATATTCGAAGAAGATTTTTGAAGCAGCAGAAGCTGTGCAATGGATTTTCAAAGTAGATGAGAGGGAATTCCAAAACAGAGGCACTCACGGAGCCCTGGNGATATTCGAAGAAGATTTTTGAAGCAATAGAAGCTGTGCAATGGATTTTCAAAGTAGATGAGAGGGGATTCCAAAACAGAGGCACTCACGGAGCCCTGACGTTGTCTTTGTTCGAACCAAGAAAGGGGCTTTATTTTCTTTAAGCCCTAGATAGTGAAACAACATTGTTTCACTGTCTAGGGCTTAAAAAATAAATCCCCAGGCGAAAAGGCGTTGTTTAATCGACAAAAACAAAAAATAAAAAATAAGCTCTGCTTATTGGATGTATTGTGTGATAAACAACATAACAACTATATCGTACGAGACAAAGCAAAAGCTATACATAAGTATGATTTGTATTGTTTTTTTCGTATACTGTATGATACATATCATGTATGGTACAATACTAACAACAATGGTTACATGATAGCCTAACTAGGGCTTTAAAGGAGTAATGGATGCTAGCATTGGAAGACTAAATGGTTGTCTTACCAGAAAAAAACACATATAGAATGGACTAAATTGAGCCATGCAAAGACTAAACTTATAGAATGCACTACATTTGGGAGGGCAAAAAAGAAATCCCAAACTTACCTGGAAATCATCACCTTATATATATTCACATGTTTTAAGGCCTAAAAGCAGGGAAAGGTTCTTCTAACTAAGAGGTTTGAATACTTATTCTTATATTAAAGGCAAGTTTAGGTTTCACTCAATCATTTGAACTCTTTCATCATGTCCTGTTCTAATTGATGAGACCTAGCCGTATGACAGAAGGCGGAATCTGGCTGTAAATGTTTCACACAAGTCAAGTAGCAATGCGCCTGTTGTCTAAACTTTAAGTATGGGGAATACATGTGTATTTTACACCACAGTAACACTGCACCACTGGTTTACATTGAAATAACATTNTGTTGTCTAAACTTTAAGTATGGGGAATACTTGTGTATTTTACACCACAGTAACACTGCACCACTGGTTTACATTGAAATAACATTCATCTTGCTGGGAATTCAACAATTTGAATCCTAGCCACAGATTCCCGGAGTTGTTTTAAATCGAAATCCAAGAGCTTGGTCTTGGAAAATAAAAGAAGTGGAAATTCAGCAATGAAGATACACTGTCTTGATTCCCCAACTAGGGGCTGAGACATTAGAGGAACCAATTAAAAAGGCACATTCAAAACTCATATTTACATTGCTTCTACAGGCCACATAAAAAGAAATGACAGAATCATTCCAGTAATTGGAGAGAATTATTTGGCTACATAGACATGAGGTTTTTCCCTAAATTCTACAAACCCCCAAAATGGAAACAAGAATAGATCAAACCCTTAAAATCTTGAATGCCTAAAACCTGTATAATTAATCAAAGACACATTTCATAATTTCTCAGCAAAGAGAGAGAGAGAGATTGAAAAAAGAAGGAATTGAAGGGGTACCTTGAGGATTAGGTGGGGATTGAACCAAACCTCATACTGTCAAAGTTTAGTGCATCTTACTGGCCTATTTTTTAGGAGTAGTTGAATTTATTTAGGAGTTTGCTTTGTTGATTGAGTCTTAGTCTGTTATGTTGAAATAAGTCATCATCAGATTGTTGCGATATTCTAAGAGTTTGTTATTGTGATTGAGTCCAAGTTAGTTGAGTATATGTAGAAAGCAACTTCTATAAATTAAAGTCCTGTAACTCCAGATTTTTTATCACTTCAGCAACGTTATTTGNGCGATATTCTAGGAGTTTGTTATTGTGATTGAGTCCAAGTTAGTTGAGTATATGTAGAAAGCAACTTCTATAAATTAAAGTCCTGTAACTCCAGATTTTTTANACTCTGTTATGTTGAAATAAGTCATCATCAGATTGTTGCGATATTCTAAGAGTTTGTTATTGTGATTGAGTCCAAGTTAGTTGAGTATATGTAGAAAGCAACTTCTATAAATTAAAGTCCTGTAACTCCAGATTTTTTATCACTTCAGCAACGTTATTTGTTTTCTTGTGTTCAAATAAAATTTCTTCCTTCTCTCATTTATTTATTTCTGAAACAGTTCATTTTCTTAGTTAAATTGAGCTGATAAGTTTTTTTTGAGATGGTATCAGAGCAAGGTTGTTGAGAGTTGGTTTAAGTTTTATTGTTTGTTGNTTCTTCCTTCTCTCATTTATTTATTTTTGAAACAGTTCATTTTCTTAGTTAAATTGAGCTGATAAGTTTTTTTTGAGATGGTATCAGTGCAAGGTTGTTGAGAGTTGATTTAAGTTTTATTGTTTGTTGACTTGCTGAAGTGCTTCATAGTTTTTTTTTTCTTTCTTTCAAAATGAATGCTAGAAATGGTTCTTCACCAAATGTAGATAAGCTTGTTGGTAATAATTACCAATATTAGAGGCTTTGCATGGAAGCTTATCTACAAGGTCAAGATTTATGGGATCTTATTGCCGGTGCTGAATCGATAATTCTGGATGATACTCCACAGAATGGTGAGCTGCGTTGAAAATGGAGGATCAAATGTGGTAAAACTTTGTTTGCTCTACGGACATCGATCAATAAGGACTACGTTGATCATGTTCATGATAAGGATACGCCAAAGCTAGGTGTGGGAGACTCTCGAAAGGTTATTTACTAAGAAGAATACAATGAGGTTGCAGTATCTGGAAAATGACCTTGCTGGAGTAACACAAGGTAATCTGTCTATTCCAGAATACTTTTTGATAGTTAAAAACCTTTGTGCTGAAATTTCAGAGTTAGATACGAAGGAGCCCATCAGCAATGCACGATTGCGTCGTTATCTCATTCGTGGTCTGCGGAAAGAGTTCATGTCATTTATTTTCTTTGTGCAAGGGTGGACAACTCAGCCTTCATAGACCTGGAGCATTTGCTTTCGAACCAAGAAGCATTGGTTAAGCAAATGACTAGTAGGCCCATCTCTGAAGTTGAGGATGTTCCCTTCAACAAAGACAAGTAGAAAAATAGAGGTGTCCCAAAGCATTCATCAAGTGATGGCAAGCAGGCAAAAGCGGAAATGGAGTCAAATGGAAATTCCAAAACTTGTTACAGGTGTGGGAAGCTAGGCACATCAAGCAAAATTGCCGAGTGAAGGTTGTATGTAATAGGTGTGGAAAACTAGGCCACATCAAACAAAATTGTCGTGTTAAGCTTATGGATGAAAATGCAAATGTTGTAACGAGAACAAAGATTCTGATCAGCTCAAATGGGAGCATTGCCTTTCTACTAAAGTTGTTGAACAACCAGGTAACATGGATTCTGTTGTGCACCAGACTATTGCACATAAGGATTCTAATATCTCCACCGATTACGAGAAGGAGTGGATTGTCGATTTTAGTTGTTCCCATCATACAACGGGTAATGCATCTCTGCTTTCAGAAGTTCGACCGCATAAGGGGAACCGAGCAATTATTACAGCTGATAATTCAGTACATCCGATAGTGAAAGAAGGCCACTTGGATGTTAAGGTTGATAGTTCGAATGGCAACGACATTGCTTTTAGTGATGTTTATCATGTTCCGGTGTTGAAAAAGAATCTTGTGTCAGTTTCTCAAATCACTAACTCTGGGAGGTATGTTCTCTTTGGTCCTGATGATATAAAGATCCTTGAAAATCTAAAGCATGTTGCAACTGATGTCCTTTCTATGGGAAAAAGGAACGAGTCTTTATGTGTTCTATTTGCAAGTGAAGCATATGTAGAAAGAACAGGCCAGAATACTAGTGCCTCACTTCGACATTGTGACACCCCAAAATCATGGGGTCCATTAATTTTCGATCAACCTAGGAAATACCCGTGAATACTGAATAACTTGATATCGCACCGTTATGTCCCATTTACCGGGATTCATAATTTAACGAAATTCGGGCGGAGTCTTCTTTGTACGGGAAGTTCTACCCCAAAACACAATCTGTTCAATCAACATTTACATGACCCATCTGAGGTCCAATATAATACCATAACCACACCGGATCCAATTATCATATTTATATCAAAATATGCAAGGTTATATTAAAACTGTCCATATAGACTCTATTACAATTCCTTTACACATCACATGGCAAAATTTAATTACAAATCTACTTTTACTAAAAAAATGGATTGGAAGTCATAAGTCGGCTTTTCTTCAACCATGTGACCCTGATTGTGAGTCGTCCACTGGCGCATAACCCACACCTGAAATGTTTTCCATATATGGTGAGTCAATACCTAGTAGAATAATTCCTACTGAGGCT